ATTTAATATTGTTTTGACCATCATATACATCACAGTATTTTAAAAGCAAGATGGCGTTGATTCCTGCTATCCTAAAAAAACCCCAACAATTTAATTTCAGACACTAATGATGTTTCAACTACTGAACTCTTTCCACTGCAAAGCAGAAAGACACAACTCAGTAACACAATAACAAACCAACATGTTTATTCATGGAAGAATTCCTATAGCAAATAGGCTTATGCTTTCCAAAGGAACACCGAAAGGACTTAACAGTGACATTTCCTATTTGGTCATTATCAGTGGCAACGATCTGCACATTCAAAGGGAAAAGTAGAGGCAATGAAATGGTCTACACACAGACAACCCTAACAGTAACAACCGTTTTGACCACATTACAGCCTTTCCTAGGTCATTGTTACAGTTTCCAAAGTCCCAAATGAATTAAAGCCAGCTATCTCATCTCTTTGCTTCCCATAACTTTGCAAGGAACACTTTGATAGATGGAAACCAGATACAAATGTGTCATTAAGGGACAGATGAATACCAGTGAAAAAGCAAAAGAAATTTATGCAAGATTACACCAAGGCCCTATCCCACAAGTGCTTCCGGCACACCAAATGATTATAATATTTAGCTTTTACATAGCTCATCAATACATTTCAAACTGCTTTACAAAAATGTCTGCATCATGACCTGCACATGTGAAAAACTGAAGCATAGAGGTCAAGTGACTTCCTCAAACTAATACCAACACCAGGAAAGGGAACCATGTTTCCTAAGTTCCTATCTAACACTTTATCTATCATGCTATGCTGCTTACAGGAAATTTACACTAGATTTCCCTAAATTGGTGGCTCTCAACTTTTCCAAGAGAGCACCACTCCACAGTTCTTTTCTTTATTTTTTTATTTCATTTGTTTTTTCAGATGAGGCAGGTTTTATCCCCAGTTGAAAACCACTACTGGTGTGCAACTTAGCATGGTGGTTCTCAACTGGGTACTGCTGCTGAAAGATAACTTCCCTGTGCACCTGCTGCACAGCCAGACCAAGAAAGGCTGTGGCATGTGTGCACACACCTTCTACACTGGTGTTCTCAAATAATCCTAAAGCAGACAGAAGAGCTGGCTTGTAGGCCTGTGCGAAGCGGCTAGTATTCACTTCAGATTCGTGTGACTTGGGGGACAGCGATTTGAATCACTGTCCTGAATCTGATTTGGAGACTCGGCTGCTGCCAAATCTCCAAATCACACAGGCCCCAACCCCCGCCTGCTCTTAATGGCTGCCCTGCCTACCCCAGCTCCCAGCACTTTGGAAAAAAAAAAAAAGAAGCCCCGATTCACTGTGTGCTGCTGGGTGGGGGGATCCCCACTGCCCCCCACTGCACGAGGGGCTCTGTCACAAGCCCCCCAACCTCCGCACCTGGCCCAGCTCCTGGCCCTTTAAGAAAAAAACCCCAAACAATAAAACCCTGGACTCACCAGGTGCTTCCCAGTGGAGCGAGATCCCCCTGCCCCCCACTGCCCTGTGCTGGGGGGGGAGGGGGGGGGGCGGCTCTGCGCAAGCTCACTGCAGGAGATGGTGAGTCTGGGGGTTTATTTTTTGGTTTTTTTCTTAAAGGGCCAGAGCTGGGGTGGGTAGGCCATGGAGCGGGGGTGGGGGCTGTGGCAGCAGGCAGGGGATGAGGCCTGGCAGGGGTCCCCCCCATGGGTCCCCCCCATCTTGGTCAGCCCCCACTCCCCCAGCCCCTACTTACCAGCATGGAGTCCAGGTCCAGATACCTGCTGCAGGGGGTGCGGACTGCCTGAATCGCCAAACCTCTCTGAATCTTTTCTGAATTGATTCAGAGAGCTTCGAATAGATTTGGACCTTTTAATTGGTCCCGATTTGATTCGGATTCGGAGATTTGGGTACCGAAATTGGCCCAAACAATCAAATCAGTACCCAAAACTTTGCGCAGCCCTATTGGCTTGTGCTGCAGCCATTCTAGGTCTGCCACTGCACAATATCTCCCAGGAAGAGTCAGGTGGGACAGTGGAGCTGTCATGCATGCCTCTGATTATTGGCATGTCAGGGGATTGAGGTTGGGGTTAACTGGGATGGACTACAGCACAAGCTGGCCCTGCTGTCTCCTTTACAGTTATTAGAGAACCCTAATGCAGGAAGGATCTGCACATGTCACAGCCCTACATGCAGGGCAGTTTTACTGGATCACTTGTTTACAGCACCCCCTGAAAAAAATCTCATGGCAGCCTGAGGAACTGTGCTATCCTGGTTGACAATCACTGCTCTGAATTATCACATTGTTAGAACATCTGGTATGGAAGGCAGGAGTAAGTTCTTTTGCAAAGGGGGGAAATATGCCACCTTTCAGATGTTTCTAATCACAAAATATGATTGTGCCGTGTGCCAGGTGCAAAATTTGCCATACAACTTTAAATCAGTGGGAAGCCAACTTTTTGGCTGAAGTGTCACATGGTAAGCCCTGCACCCTCCCAGTCCGTCACTCTAATTCCCTTCTTCTGCCTGCTCTACTTTCTGCCCTATCTGCCACTGTGTTCTCTTTTGCCTCCCTGATCTCCTGTGCCTCACAGAGGCAGCGTGTGCCACTTACAGCATGCATGTCAAAAGATGCCGACCTCTAAATTAAGATCATAATTTAATTTATGGTAACCTGCATGCAGCACTACAAACAAGTTCACCATTACAACAGAAATGAAGGCATCATCTGTGTCTAATACTACCTACTGAACCAGCCTTCACCAGACTGCAGAATAGAAGACCAAGGGGAATTTGATAACAGCCTTCAAATACCCAAGTCATGACTATAGAAACGATGGAGATGGGGTTTCTCTGTAGCTGTAGGGGAAAGAGACTAGGTGCAATGACTTCAGACTACGGCAAGGGAAATTTAGGTTGGAGATTAGGAGGAACCTTCTGATTATGAGGGTGGTCAAGCATTGGAACAGGCTACCTAGAGAAGCTGTGGAATCTCTGTCCTTGGAGGTTTTTGAGAGAAAGTTGGAAAGGCACTTGGCTGGGATGGTTTAGTCAGGGGCAATCCTACCCTGAGCAGGGGCTGGACTAGACAACCTCAAGAGGTTCCTTGCAGCCCAACTGACCTCTGATCCCAAGTATTTCCACAGATCTGGATAATGGGATGGAGCTGGTGTCATCTGCAGACTCAAGCTGCGGGGAGTAGTAGATATGCCGGAGGGTAGGGCTAGGATTCAGAGAGACCGTGACAAATTGGAGGATTGGACCAAAATAAATCTCATGAAGTTCAATAAAGACAAGTGCAAAATCCTGCACTTAGGATGGAATAATCCTATGCACCAGGACTGGCTAGGGGCTGACTGGACAAGCAGCAGCTCTGCAAAAAAGGACCTGTGGGTTATAGCAGACAATAGGCTGAATATGAGCCAACAGCGTGCCCTTGTTGAAAAGAATGCTAACATTAGTGGGAGCACTGCCAGCACATCAAGGGAAGTGATTATTCCCCTGTATTCAGCACTGGTAAGGCCACATCTGGAGTACTGTGTTCAATTTTGGGCCCCCAATACAGAAGGATATGGCCAAATCAGAGAGTCCAGTAGAGGGCAACAAAGTGGATAGGGGGCCAGGGAGCATGATTTATAAGGAAAGGCTGAGGTAACTGGGCTTATTTAGTCTAGAGAAGAGGAGACTGAGAAGGGACTTAGTAGCAGCCTTCAACTCCCTGAAGGGTGGGTCTGAAGAGGATGGAGCTGGACTGTTCTCAGTGGTGGCAGACGACAGAACAAGAAGCAACGGGCATTTATACACATACTGCTGCCACGCACCGCAGATCCAGTGCATCAGAGCAGATTAATCGACTCAATTAACTGAGTCTGCTCTGCACACGAGCTGATGCACACCGCACTGCGTCATCTGCAGTTGTATAAACGGCAAAATGCACACCAGCCTGGAGAAAACGGCAGTGGTGCGCATTTGAATGAAAACATCTTTGACGTGTTTTAGTTCAAAAGTGGACCGCCGCCATTTTCCGCGCACTGACGCGCACTTCACCACTTATCCAACCGCATGCATTGCAGCGTCAGGTGCTTTTCAAAGCACCCGGCGCTGTGGCACATGCATGGGTAAAAATGCCTGACGGTTTCAAGTTGCAGCAAAGGAGATTTAGGTTGGATATTAGGAAAAACTGCCTCACTAGGAGGGTAGTAAAGCACAGGAACAGATCACCAAGAGGTTGTGGAAGCTCCAGCCTTGGAGGTTTTTAAGACCCAGCTAGACAAAGCCTTGGCGAGGGCGATCTAGCTGAGGCTGGTCCTGCTTTGAGCAGGGGCTGGACTAGATGCAACCTCCTGAGCAACCTTCCAACCCTCATTTACGATTCTGTGATCTTCACTTACATGTAATCTCCCTCTGAGCTCTCGATCGTTCCTCATTTTCACGTAGATTCGCTCATCTAGACTGAGCCTGATGAGATCCAGCGGCTCCTCTACAGTATTGGTTGTCTGTTGCTGAGAAAAAAACAAGGCGGTTCCTATTACAAGCATGAAACCCCCTGGACGTTGCGTGTCCTAATCCCTGGGGCTCGCAGGCAGAGACAGGGCGAGGACACTGCTGTCGTGTCACAGACACCCCGATCAAGCCGGCGGCCACCAGAAGCGGCAACTTGAGCAACCGGGGCATAATCCCCCGAGGGCCTGGCAGCCTGCGCCCGCCCCACCGGCACTAGCGTCGCAGCGGTCAGGCCTCGCCAGCGCGGCCGAGACACGGATGACACGAGCCAACTCGAGGGAAGCGCCTCACCTGGTCCACCTCGTCCGCCATCTTTCAAACGAACTCTCGCGAGATCCCGCGAACCCGCCTTCCCCATCCCGCGGGGCTGGGGGCGTGATGACGCCACACGTCGCGCGAGGGGAGGGGGGCGTGGCTTGTCTCCCCGCGAGCCCTCAGTGTTCGCAGCTGTGAAATGGGCACCGCTCACCTCAAGGGGGCGGGTGTCTC